ACACAGTAAGCCCGCCCTGCGTGGGGACGCCCACTCGCTCTTGGAGGAAGAGGGGCACGGGTGGCAGAGGGTGCGGGGCCTGGCCGGCTCACATGTGCCAGTGCAGTGTGGCCTCCGGCCTTCAGTGTCCAGTTGGGTTCCCTTCCTCCGCTTTGGGTCAGATCCTTCTCGCGAGACTTGCCGCTTAGTCCAGAGGCTATCGTTGGGAGGATGGGGGTGCGGGGTCGAGTCATTGGGCTTCTATCGGGACCCGAGGCACGGCACCTTGCTCACTTCGAGGTCAGGGCCGGGTGGGGGGACATTCTTGTGCGTGGATGTGTGCACACGCTGGAGCCCACAGACGACAAAGCACACACTTAGCCGTGTTCCAGAAAAGGGAGCAGTGGGGGCGGAGGAGATGTTTCTGGAAAGTCCTAGAAGCATGGCTTCCACTTTCCCTCAGCGCCTAGCACCTTTACACCTTTCGTAACCACGTGGGCGTTGCCCTCCCGTTCATTCTCGATTTCTCTTTTCCTTTCCCCAAACAGCTCTACAGACCGACCGTGGGGCGGGCGGGGCCTGGCAGGGGTGGCCCTGCCAGCAAGGGGCCGGGCTCTGTCCCTGCCGCCTGGGTGCCACCGAGCTTCATCGTGCCCCCACAGCCTGTGGGGTCGACGTTCTTTCCATTCTGGAGATGAATGATGTGGGGGGGGGGTGCTGGGGGGGCACCGAGTAACACACTGGCAGCTGATGTCCGCGGACTTGAAGGCCTGCGACAGGACACTGTTTTCCCCAGCACCACACTTCTTCCGTGCTGCATGGTGTTGTGTCAGGGTTTGCGTGAAAACCGATGACACCTGAGCTGTCCTGGAGCCAAGGCACGGGAGCGTCTGGGCATGGGGGTGCAGCCTGGCCTGGCCCCAGGCTCTGTTCGCAGGCCTCAGCCTTTCCCCAGAGGTGGATCTGGAAGGCCACGGCCACCCTCCACTCCAGGGACCCACAGCGTCCCAGTTCCCACCCAGACGTCTTGGCACCAGGAAGGTGTACTCTGAGACGCTACGTGACAGCCGGATGGCAATGGTCTGTGGTCCACTCGGGCACCTCACCTGCTGGCGACTGAGTGATAGCATTGGCTTGGGCTGCGTGATTCGGCCGTGTTCCCGGATGTCCGAATCTAAAGAAACGCCAGTTTGCAGGATTCGCGTTTCGCTGCTGGGAGTCAGACAGTGAAACTATCAAAAACCTGGGGACAAAGTTTTGGCCCAAAGGGAAAACTCGGAGGCCACGCGCTACCCCCACGAGAGGACGCCTGCGGGCGGGCGGGGGCCCGGGGCCTGGCGAAGGTGCAGGGGAGCGGCCAGTCTGCTGCTGCGAGAGGCGACAGGCACAGGACCGGGGCGGCCGCGGCTCGCGGCGCCTTGGCAGCTGCAGCCTGTGATCGCCCATCCAAAGAGGAGAGAAAAGCGAGGGAAGAAAGGGAGGTTGGCGGAGGGGGTCGAGGACGGGGGAAGGAGGAGGGCAAGCCCGGGCGGCGGAGCCTGACGGTCCCCTCGCAGACAAAGGACTTGGCGGGAGCGGAGAGCCCCGGACGCGCTGGCTGAAAGGCATTGGGCCGCCCTTCCGCGGGCAGCGCCCTCGCTCCGCGCGGCCAAAATTCTCAGCTCGACAGATGGGGACGAGCGGCGGCCGCCGGATACTTCCAGACGCGGGGTGCACGCAGTGATCCCCGCGTTCCTCGCCGGGTGGAGGACCTCGGCTGTGTCAGGGTCCCTCCCGCCCGCGGAGGAGACAGCGCTGCGGGCCGCAGCCGCGCAGTGCGCTGGGCTCTGAGCCCCTCTCCCTCCCGGGTCTCCGGGAGCCTGGGGCGGGGGGACGGGCGGGGGCCCCTCTGGGACGCCTTCCAGGCTGAGAGGGAAGAGCTCGGCTACTCTTTGTTCCTGCTCCAGGCAAAGCGCGGGGCTCAGCCCGGAAAGGGGGGCGGGACAGCCCGTGGGGCTGGTCCCTGGCTCTGGACCCAAGGTTCCCCCAACCCCTAAAACCTGCCCTGGCTTCCGTCCCTCGGGGACACGGAGGTCCTGTGGGTCTGGGGACACTCAACCTGCTTCCAGGTTCGTTGCCCAGGCCTTGCACGGCCTGGCTAGGTCGGCGAAGGGCAGCAGGCCTGAGTCACGGGGACTCTCAAGGCCGTCTGCTCGCCTCCCATCTTGGGGCTCCCCCACGTCCCTCTTGGGGGAGGGAGGGCTGGGCCGGAACTGCAGAAGTGGCCTTCATCCGGCTGAGCACGAGGCCAGTGGAAACAACAGTAATAATAACGCTGTCGCCGTCAGCCTCGCTCGCCAGAGCCCCGCGCGGCAGACCAAGCTTGATTAAATCCCGTAATTAGGAGCCACTTTAATGAATATTACTACATTTCGGATGATTTCAAGAATAGCCTTTTACTTTCTGTGGGCGGCTACCGTAAACAGGATGGAGTATTAGACATGAATAAAATCATGAATGGTCTGCACGCGCCTGGCGCGGCGCCTGCATGAGCTCGCCAGAGCCCCGCGCGGCAGACCAAGCTTGATTAAATCCCGTAATTAGGAGCCACTTTAATGAATATTACTACATTTCGGATGATTTCAAGAATAGCCTTTTACTTTCTGTGGGCGGCTACCGTAAACAGGATGGAGTATTAGACATGAATAAAATCATGAATGGTCTGCACGCGCCTGGCGCGGCGCCTGCATGAGA